GGCGGCAGGGGTGGGGCGGCGGCCAGGGAGGAACAGCCAAAATGCCCCCTCGGCTTATGCGCGGGTCACCAATTTTTCCCAGTTCTCTGTGGGAAAATCGGTCCCTCGGCTTATACTCGGGTCGACTTATACTCGAGTATATATGGTACTTATTGACCTAGAAAAAGTATGTGATCTCACACATTTTCTTGGATATCAATTAGATCAGCGGTTCTCAACCTATGGGTCACGACCCCATTTGGGGTCGATCGACGATTTCACGGGGGTTGCCAAGCAAGGCTGTCCACCATTTTTTCCCCTTTTCCGGCGGGTGCCTTACCTCCCTTGAGCTGGGCCAACTGGTGGTCGGCCTGCTCCGTCTCTGCCACTTGCCAGCTACGCCTCAGCCGGCACAGGAGGCAGAACCACGCATGCGTGGCACTCCCAGGCAGGGAAAGTCCTCGACGTATGACCGGTTTAGTCCTCGGCTTACGACCGGTTTAGTCCTCGACTTACGACCGGTTGGGTGTCACGGCATTAAAAAGGTTGAGAACCACTGAATTAGATTATACCATTTACCTAAGCCCTGAATCTTCTGGCTACAACTATTGTACTGTAATGTTACCAGCTTAATAACAAGTGCTGAAACAATAAAAGAGAATATTTGTAGGTCAGGGTTGAAATGAGAGGTTCTTGGTACACTCCAAACTTGGTTGGTTGTTTGCAGACATTTCATTATCCAAACTAGGTAAAAGAGGGGCACATAACTAAATCAGAATATCAACAAATAGCCCGAGCCTGCAAAGATGAAGTGAGGAAAGCTAAGGCTCATAATGAACAAAGGCTTGCGACCAAAGTCAAAAATAAAAAAAAGCTTCTTTCAACATGTAAAAAACAATAAAAAAGTGAAGGAAATGATTGGTCCATTAGTGGGTGAAAATGGCAAGAAGGTGACAAGCAATAGGAAGAAAGCAGAACTATTTAACTCGTTTTTTGCATCTGTCTTTACACAAAGGGAAAAAACAGACCAACCTATCAAAAATAGTGCCATAAAAAACAGTATAGAAACACGTTAAGATAGGCAAGAAAATGATAGGTGAGCACCTGTCCAGCCTAGACGAGTTCAAATCACCAGGACCAGATGGATTACACCCCAAGGTTCTCAAGGAACTGGCAGATGTGATCTCAGAACCACTGAACTATATTTTTCAAAGATCTTGGAGCACTGGGGAACTACCAGAGGACTGGAAAAGAGCTGATGTAGTTCCCATCTTCAAAAAAGGAAAAAAAATGGATCCAGGAAATTACAGGACCTATCAGCCTGACCTCAATACCTGGGAAGATTCTGGAAAAAATAATCAAGCAACGAATCAGCGAACACCTAGAGGCAAACAAAATCACTACTAAAAGCCAACATGGGTTTGTCAAAAACAGATCATGCCAGACAAACCTTATTGCATTCTTTGAGCAAGTGACAAAATTAGTGGATCAGAGGAATGCTGTGGATATAACTTACTTGGACTTCAGTAAGGCATTTGATAAAGTAGATCACAACCTACTACTCGATAAGATATAAAAATGTGGGTTAGACAGCATCACCACCAGATGGATTCATAGCTGGCTGACCGGCCGTACTCAGCATGTGGTCCTCAATGGAACTGCATCTACATGGAGGGAAGTGTGTAGTGGGGTGCCCCAGGGCTCTGTTCTGGGCCCAAT